GGAGGAGGAAGAGGAGGAGGAGGAGGAGGGGTAGGAGGAACAGGAGAACGGGGATGATGATGATGATGCTGATGCTGATGCTGATGATCAAGATGATGAGGATAATGAGGATGATGAGGCTGATGAGGATGATGAGGATGATGAGGATGATGAGGATGATGAGGATGATGAGGATGTTGAGGATGATGAGGATGATGATGATGATGATGCTGATGATGCTGATGATGATGCTGCTGATGCTGCTGATGCTGCTGATGCTGCTGATGATGATGATGCTGAAGCTGATGATGATGATGATGATGATGATGATGATGATGATGATGATGATGGTGCTGATGCTGATGCTGCTGCTGATGATGATGATGATGATGATGGTGAGGGTGATGGTGATGGTGATGGTGATGATGACGATGATGATGATGATGATGATGACGGTGATGATGGTGATGGTGGTGATGATGATGATGATGATGATGCTGATACTGATGTTGATGATGATGATGATGATCTTGATGATGATGATGATGATGATGATGATGATGCTGATGATGCTGATGATGCTGATGATGAGGATGATGAGGATGATGAGGATGATGAGGATGATGAGGATGATGAGGATGATGAGGATGATGATGATGATGAGGATGATGAGGATGATGAGGAGGATGATGATGATAATGGTGATTGGATGATTTGATGTGCTGATGATGATGATGCTGATGTGATGATGATGATGCTGATTTGATGATGATGATGATGATGATGAGATGATGCTGATGCTGATGTGATGATGATGGATGATGGATGATGATGATGAGGATGAGGATGAGGATCGAGGATGAGGTATATGAGGATGAGGATGAGGATGAGGATGAGGATGAGGATGAGGATGAGGATGAGGATGAGGATGAGGATGAGGATGAGGATGAGGATGAGGATGAGGATCATGAGGATCATGAGGATCATGAGGATCATGAGGATCATGAGGATCATGAGGATCATGAGGATCAAAAGGAGGAGGAGGAGGAGGACGAGGAGGAGGACGAGGAGCAGGAGGGGGAGGAGGAGGAAGAGGAGGAGGAGGAGGAGGAGGAGGAGGAGGAGGAGGAGGAGGAGGAGACGGGGAAGTCGGAACGGAAGGAGCAGGAGCAGGAGGAGGACCAGCAGGAGGATGGGGGCGAGCAGAAGGGGCAAGTGGAGAGCGGCGGGATGCGGACGGGGTCCGGAGCGGATGGGCTTGGGCAGCTTGGCATTGGGGGGATATGTCGGGCGTATGGAGGATGGAAAAAAGGGTCACCCGTGGAATTCGCTGGAATTCTGCTAACCGCAATGCGGTATAGGGGGCAGGCGGAGGAGGAGGAGGGCGACGAGGAGGAGGAGGACGAGGAGGAGGAAGGCAGTTGAGGAGGAGGAGGAGGAGGAGGACGAGGTGGAGGCGGCGGCGGAAGAGGAGGAGGTGGAGGTGGGGTGGAGTTGGAGGCGGAGAAGCAGGAGGAGCAGCAGCAGGCGGAGGGAGAGCAGGAAGGGGAACGGCGGAGGAAGAGTTGGCCATCCGTCGCCTCCGCCCTCGGCGAGAGCTCGGCGGCAGAGCTCGGATATGCTCGGAGAGGTGATGGGCCAACTTTCCACCACCACTACCATATATATAGGACGGGGGAGAAAGGATGATGGGGAGGTCCTCCTCCTCCTCTCGTCCTCCTGCTCCTCCTCCTCCTCATCCTCATCCTCCTTCTCATTCTCCTCCACCTTCTCCTCCTTCTCCTGCTCCTCCTCCTCCTCCTCATTATCATCATCCTCCCTATTTCCTCCTCCTCCTCCTCCTCCTCCCTTCCTCCTCCTCCTCCTCCTCCTCCTCCTCTTCCTCTTCTCTTTCATCCTCCCCCCTCCTCCTGCGCTCCTCCTCCTCCTCCTCCTCCCTCCTCCTCCTCCTCCTCCTCCTCCTCCTCCTCCTCCCTCTCCTACCCATGGTAGAGGTGGCGGAAACTCGGCCCATCAAGAGAGGGGGGGGGCTCCCGCCAGGGGCACCACTGGGGCGTGCGCTGCGCCGCGTTCTCGCCGAGCGGCACGGCCCAGATGTGGCGGCAGAAGGGGCTGCCTGGGCAGCAGGAGGGCGGGGGCGCCCTGGGGCTTAGGTGATATGTTTTAACCACCGGTGGGGGGCGTTTTTTCGGGGTTGGGCAGGCCTCCTACCCTGACACGTCGATTAAGGAATTGGCCGTTTTCGGTTCGCGAGGGGGCGTCGCGGCCGTCATTTTTGCGGGTCCAGGTCCGTCGGTTTCGGTCCCAGGCGCTTTTCACTAAGGGGAGGTTTACTAAAGGGGGGTTTGTCCACCGCCGATGTTTTGTTTTCAAGATCTACGTTGTTCATGTTCTGGGGCGTTTTTTTTTTTCGTCTTGGGGATTCCCGATGATCGTTCTCGTCATGCTGAGTCCGCGTGCGTCACAGTCAGTGAAACCATCTGGCTCACAAAGTGCTGCTCAGTATGCGGGCCAGCGCTGGAAGGACCCCTGTTGGCCAGCCGAAGCCTTCATGCCGCCACTTTGGCCCCGTCTTCGGGTCGGTTCCGTTTCGCATTGCTGTTTTTTGCATGGTGTGGGTTGCAGTGTTTCTGCTTCGGTTCATCCAAAAATTGCAGTTCGGGGAAAAATAGCCCCAGCCGGAGATTGGAGGGGTGGCTCAGAGGAGGAACAGGTTGCTGCTGCCCTTCCTCGTTTTCGCTTCTGTGGGCCTCCTGGGAGGCCCTGCCACGGCCGGAGTCGCGTAGAAATGTTGATCAGAATGCAACATGGGGGAGGCCGGGGGCATCGGTATTGGTATTGCTTGGTTTCCCCAAGAGCGCCCGCCAACCACCTCGACTCGAAAAACAAACAGCCTGCATACATAATGTCTCGAACCTCCGCGCGGACGTCGCGGATCGGCGCCGAGTCGCCTGGCGGCGCTTCTGGCGCCGCCGCTGGTGAGCTCCGCGCGCCAGGGAGGGGGCTTCAGCACTGAGCTGAGAAATCCGCAGAGACTTTCGTCTGCTCCTCTGCTAAACAGCCACCACGACCTCGGCTTCAGGTTGCCTGCACCACACAGTCCGTAAAGGCGCAGTGCTCCACGAGTTCTGCGAGCGTCTGCCATCCTTGTGCGTGCCTCTGGGCCTCAGAGCGGTGTGGGAGGGCCTGCGCGGCATGGCACTGCACCGCTGCCTGGTGTTCCTGCTGCACGCTCGCCGTTTGCTCCACTTGTCCGAACTCGCCCTGCTGCCGCCCCCCCCTGCTTCACTGCCGCTGTTGCTGCTGCTGCTCAGCGCTGCCGCCGTCGCCGTCGCTGCCGCTGCCGCTGCCGCAGCCGCCAGTGCGCTCTCGCGCGTGCTCCCAGCAGCCCAGCCCTCGTTATAGTCGCGGCAGGTTCCAAGCTGAGCCGTGCGGGCCGCACGCAGCTGTGCGTAACAAAAGGGGCACGCGGCCCTCTCTTGGGTTGTCTCGCTTTTTCTGGCCCGAGGCCACTCCACAGACACAGGGTCTGAGATGTTCGAGTCTGTCGCCCTCCTCCTCGTTCCCCCAGTCCGATCTTCGAAGAGGCGGGAGCGGGTGTGCGCTCAAGACAAGGCAAGGAGAGGGAGGGGAGGAGAATGCCCATCCAGGGGCTTGGAACAGGCTGCCCCCTGGCTGCTCAGGCGATTGCTTATTCGAATGCGAGAGAAGACAGAGGTATCCTTCCTCCGACCCTCATCCCTGTCCTACCCCATCCATCCCCCTCCCCCCTTCCCCTCCCTCTGCCCTCCCCCCTGCTCTGTCCTCCTCCGCCCTCTTCTGCATCCTCTCTTCTGCCCATCCTTCCCCCTCCTCTGTCCTCCTCCGCCCTCCTCCCTCCTCCCCGTTTTCCTTCCTCCTCCTCCTCCTCCTCCTCCTCCTCCTCCTCCTCCTCTCTTCCTTCCTGCCACTCCTAACCCCCCCCCCTCCCCCTCCTCCCCCCTCCACCTGCTCTCCCGTCTCCCTCTCCTCCTGCCCCGTCCCCCCTCTCCTCCCCCCTGCCCTCCCTCCTCTGTCCCCCCCCCCCGAGGAAGAGGAGAAGCAGCAGAAGAAGCAGCAGCAGCATCAGCAGCAGCAGCAGGAGGAGGAGGGGGAGGAGGAGGAAGAGGAGGAGGGGCAGAAGGAGGAGGAGGAGGCGGAGGAGGAGCAGGGCGAGCAGGAGGAGCAGGAGGAGGAGGAGTTTTTCTCCTGCAGTCCTCAGGAGGCCTAACCATGTTAATGTCACGTTTAGCCGCGATCGGCGGCGGCTCCTGCCAGTCGGGCCTGCTCCCGTGCCTGGATTCGGTCGGCCAGGGCTTGCATTCACTGGGGTTTGGAGTACACCGCCTGTTGCACCGGCCGTACTGACCTCCTCAGGAGGGGGCAGCGACGAGGCATAAGACAGGTTCGGAACTCCTCGACGGCTGGAGGAGGTCACACGGGATCGCTCCTTTCCTGTAATGCGGGTACAGTCCCTGAAAGATCATGCGCAGGGTTGTAGGAGCGCCCGAAAGCTCATGCTGAATGCACTCCCCACCCAAGAGGTGGTGCCTGCTAGAGGTGCAACCACCACAAACTAAACAGCAAAACAAGACTTGCTCCTTTTCGCCTCGCGAGACTCTACAATGGGCGAGGGTATGTCCCAAGGAAAGGTCCAAGAACTTCTGGAGCGTTCGAGACATGCCTTTACATCCAACCATAGGGCGCGTGGGGGGGTCGTACCAGAAGGCCTAACAACGAACACAGCGCGCTCGACCTTCTTCGAGGTCTTGCCACGCATGCCAACCGCCCGATTTCAAAAACTCGGCCCTTGGACCTCCTCCAACGCACCGTTCAAACCGCTCCTGCGGAAAAAACGCCAAAACTTTACCGAGGACACGGAACAATACCTAGAGCTTTTTCAAATTCTCATCCACCTCCTGCATTTCGAGCGGGGAAGGTTGAGGATGGTCGAGGAGCGCTCTCTTGGCCTGAGAATCAGCACGCCAGTTACCGAGACCAATGCGTTTCTCATCCACGGGCAGGCGGCCTATCTCCTCCAGCTGTCTGTGCGCTGGCGTATGCTGTGCAGGCGGATCATGGCCCCCGGACTCGTGGAGCAAGGCACCGCGCCTCAGTCTTGCGTAACGGTGCTTACGAGATCCCTGGTGGGCGGGAGAGCTCTGACACAGTTTTATCACGGTCATGGAATCGCTGAAACGAGACCCTCCAAGTTTTTGAAGCATAGAGAGGAGGGCCATCCCAAGATGTTCCCCAGCTTGGAAGGTCTGGGGGAGGGCATCGAGGACGGTGTGGCGGGCAGTGGCCAGGATTTCGTCGGGACCCCCACCCAAGGAGACCCAAGCCTACGACGCACGGAAAAGTTCACGAATGGGGTGACGCATCGCCGATCCATCACTGCACACATCGGCGCCAGCAAGGTCAATGCCCCCCCCCACGGAACTTCATTGCCCCCGGGGTCATAGAGGTGGGGGTTAGGGTCATTCTTCAAGGGGGCCAGCTATTTTCGGGGTGTTCCCACTTCAGCTGATCATACATCGTCCTATCTTCCTTTTCGAGGGCATCGGCATGCCAAGGAACGGGATCTTCGTCCAGCGCCTCGGTCCTCGCCTGCACAACGTCGGGGTGCATACAGTGCCACACGCGGTGGCGAACGCTGTCGGCCAAGCCACAGACAGGACAGCAGCCGTCCGATTGATACCCTAAAGCTCTGGCTCTCGCTCGAGTCCAGATCCCACTGCAAAAACAGGTGAGCGCCATATACTTCTCGCGAGCAGACATGAGGTCCCAGCAACTTCTTCAGGGGCTCAGCACAAACACGCGACCCTTGGAAACCGGGGGTCACCGAAGCAAGTTTGCGTTCGTGGGCCCCCTGAGTGGCCTGGTCGAGGAGGTGCGAGAGGAGAGACGGAGAGGTGAAATTCATGTGATGCCCCCGCCCGCAATCGTCAACGAACGAGAGGGCCGACGTCGAGGTCCAACCGATCCCATGAAGGCTGAGGTGCATTCCTTGAAGGGGGACCTCGAGAGTCACGCTACACGTGACCGAATCATCAAGCGGAACAGCTCTCCACATGCTGCACAAAATGGATGGTGTGAAACGAGGAGGAGGAGGAGGGGGAGGAGGAGGAGGAGGAGGAGGAGGAGGAGGAGGAGGAGGAGGAGGAGGAGGAGGAGGAGGAGGTGAAGGCAATCCAAACAACCGTAGCCCAGTGAAGCAGGGGCGCAGCGGCAGGACGCCCCACGGGGTCGCCACAAGTCGCCAGCTTTGGCATGGACCGAGCAGCCTCTGTGGCGAGGTGGTTTCTCAACGACGCCACAGCACGTCGGGCCTGCTGGAGTTCGAGACGTCCTCTTGCCTCGGAAGCCCCTGCCAGAGATGCTGAAGCGCTCTGCGTCGGCGCTTCACGTCGCTGAAACGCTTCTTGCGCTTCCACATGGCGCGCGCGCCCGAGCGTTGTTGGCCAGGAGCAAGGTCAGTCCCCAACGGCACGATGCTGTTCGACACCTTCCCCGCCATCCTCCCCGAGAGATTCGCAAGCTTCCTGGCCAAGGTGCGCACCTTCTCGGGGTAGACGGCCACCTTGAGCTCGTCACGGAAGAGGAGCAACAGAGTTGCCGCGGCCTTGCTGAGGTGAGTCAAAATTTGATGCTCGGTGCCGTGGGAAGTGACATTATCGTCATCCACGTAAGTGGAGAGCCAAACGTCGGGGTGCTCCACAGTGAACCTGTCGAAAGCTCCTATGCTGCATACGCGGACAAAGATGTCATTGGGCATGTCTCCCGCGGGTCCACTCACTCGACTTGGCGAGCACGGCCAGGACCCATGACCGGGCCCCCAAACGGAGGAACCGAGGACCACGCCGGTGGTTGAAACCGGTTTCAGCGATGACGGAATGGATGCCACAAGCAAGGGCACGCCGACGAAACAGCTCGAGATCGAGCGGCTCATAGCACTCTTGGTGCCGTCCCAGGGGATCTCTTGGGGGGCAGCCTCGGAGTGTAGGGGGGGCCACGTGCGAACCCTGCCCCTACCCCCCAGGATTTCCGAGGGGGCCACGTGCGAACCCCGCCCTCCCCCTCAGAAGTCGTGGGGGGGCAGGGGTAGGGTTCGCATGTGGCCCCCTAGAGCGAACAGCCTGGTGCCACTCGGCATTCCCAGCACTACGACCAGGCCCACAAGGGGGCCCCGCATGTGCTGCGAGGGTGCCTGTCGCTGAAGTCAGGAGTGGCCGGCCTGCGCAGCGGTTTCCCAGACTTGCACGGGCCCCGCGCACAGATCTGCACGAACGGGATGGGCACGGAAAGAATGGGTACGATGCCCAACAGCAGTTCCTGTTCATCTTGGACAGGGCTCGCTGTCCGCGCCGCCGCGGCGTGTGTCCATTCGAGACAGGAGGCCGCCTGCCCAAGAGCGGCCGCTGTTAGCTTGGGACAACATTTGCTGTTGGGCATTGTACCCATTCTTTCCGTACCCATTTCGGGCGTCCAAAGCAACAGAAGGATGGATGGGGCGGAGACCCCCTTTTGGTTTTTTATTTAATGGAGGGGGGCGGGGAGCCAGAACAGCTGCTTCGGAAAAAGCAGGGCTGGACCTGAACGGTGTTTTCGGTGATTTCGTGGGCCGTGTTCGTTTCGGCTTCGTTTTGCGGCAAAGGCGGATCCGAGACAAGGGCGAGGGAAACCGAAAACAAAACGAAAACGAAAAACACCGCTTAGGTTCAGCCCTGGGAAAAAACACCGCTTATGTTCACCAGAATAATCGCCGCAAGCGTTTCAAGAGCCGCGCCTGACACCGCGCTGAATTGACGAGGATGGATTCCGCCAAGAGACTGGGGCGTGAGGTGCGAAAAGGAGCGCGAAGCGCTACGCATATCCGCAGCAGACGGGCGTGACAAAACTAATCCCATCGGGAACACCAACTTCGGGCGGCTTGTGGGAGGCGTGCCAGACACGGGCGAGCTCTTCACCAGCACCCCTCAGCAAGGCCTGAGGATCGCTGGAGAAGATGCCAGGGTGGGTTTGGACAACCGTGGGATTCCATCGTTCTTTCAGCTTAGTCTTATGTTGGGCGTGTCCCCTTACAGGGGGATTTTTGACGACAACTAAGACATACCCCAAACATACCCCAAAAAGATCAAAACATGTTCAAAAAATGCTCAAACATAGTCCCCAGACTATTTTTTGATGTTGTTTTGATTATTTTGGGGGTATTTTTTTTATTTTTCGTCGAAAATCCCCCTGTAGGGGGACAGGCCCGACTTAAGCTTAGTCAAACGGTGCATGGCCCTCGCTCCCTCCTCCAAGGCCTTCTCCTGCCATTCGTCCCATCTATCCTGTTGAGTCTTGGCAAGGGCCTGCGCGGCCTTTTGGCGAAGATCGGGGCCCACCGAGGTTTCAACAAAGCACCTTTGAATTCCTTTTGTTTGGTCTCGACTCCTGTGAAGGCCGCGAGCTCAAGGTCGAATGTGTTCGCGAAGTGCTACGGTCAGCAACTCCCAGGCTTCGCCCGCGGGCGCTGTGAGGGCCTTGGTGGCGGCTGACTCGGCTATGGATCGAGCTGTGCACCAGTTCTGATCATGAGAAGAAGGTCTTATGGGGAGGCAAATAGGAAGCTTCTGATGGGCATCCTCGCGCAAGGTGGTCACCACTGGCATGTGAGGAAGATGCGCCCAGCTGGTGTCAGCCTCGATTCGACTGCAGGCTCTAGCGATACTGGTGCTAACATGAGAATCAATAGTGGTGAGGCTGGAGGGGGAAAGACACGTCTTCTTGGCAGAAACCATGAGCGAGCCCCCCGTGCGGCGAATGACCCCCGAGGCTTCGACCAAATGGGGTTCGAGATTCCAATCGCAGCCAGCAGCGAACATGTGGACCCCTACAAGACGTTCCCCCAGGAGCCGAAGCAAACGAACATTGCGTGGGCAGAGACCAGTGCCACTCTTGAGGTATCCACAAAGAACATGCAGCGGGGACCAGGCAGGAATATCCACAATGGTGTAGATCAAACGTCCAGGAGAGACGACCCCGTTTCCATCCGCCGGCCACCTAAGGTTAATGTGCGCGCGAGCGAAAACCGCAACCCCAGCCCTGGGTCGACCCGAGACACCCAAGAGGGAGGGGGAGAGAAGCATCTTCCATCCAAGGCCCCCCGCCGAGCTACATCTTTCACCCTCACGCTCCTGGGTGCAGCCAATCTCCTGCGCCAGGATAATGCTCGCGCTGCTGAGCCGCAAGCGTTCACAGAGCGTGGTCCAATTGTTACCGTTATACGTCTCGATAGTGATTGCCTCGCCCATTCCAAGATCTCGCTCTGAGGATCGAGCAGGCAGACAAGGAGGGGGAGGCAGAGGTGGAGCGAGAACTCCCGATCTAGAAAGCTTCAGGCCACAACACAAAGGTATGTACGTGCTCACGTTACCCTTGCTTGGGTTTGACTCGTCGAATGCCGCTGCCGAAACGCTCCATGAAGGTCTGCTTGTCGAGTCTCTTGGCTGCATGCATGAGCTGATCGAGGTATGAGTCGTCAAGCTCTTGCATTTCAACGTCATCGTGACCAGCAGGCTGCTCCAGCGCACTCTCGGCGTCCACCTGTGCACGGGGGAATCCTGCTCCTTGGCCAACGACCGGGTTGGGTGCTTGCGAGACCTCGGGCTTGGTTTTGGCCTTGAGGCCCTCACGGAGCACCACCGTGAAGTCCTTAAAAGACTGAGTCCATGAACTCTCGGATCCTCTCGTCGTGGGGTTGGCTGTCCAAAAATGGCATGTCAATGTCGAAGGAAGCCGTGGATTGCGCAGGCAGCGTGTCCACCAACTCCTTGTTGAGGCTCGTGTTTTTTTCGTTGGCCGCCACGATATGGGCTCGCATGGTGTCGATCTTCTCTTGTGGAGCTCGAACGGCCTCCTTCTGCGGCCTCCTTCTGCTCCTCGATGGCCTCCTCAAATCGTCTCGTCTTAGCAGTAGCACGACCCAACAGATGACCCACGCTGGTGTGCTGCGTAAGCTGGGGCTCGGTGTCCGCCGGAGCCTTTCTTGCCACCGTGGGCGGCCTTGCCCATATCGTTGGGAAGCTTCTTGCACTCGGCCGCGGCGGCCTCGACCTGCTCGATCTGTTCACGTAATGCAATATGTTCCTTATCCTTTGGCTCATCTGGGCTAGCGGCACCTGCAGCGGCTCCTTTTGCCTCGGTGGACTGTGAACCTGTCCGTGGGCCACTGGGCGACGACACCAGCTTGTCATACTTCTTCTGCAGATCATCGAGTTGCTGCTGTAGTGGATCCCGAAACTGCCCTCGAGCATGCCGAGGGGGAGCACGAGAAGGAGGGCCACGAATGCCAACATTCTACTCTGCGCGCTTGGCGACCGATGGCGGGGCCGCAGCGCCACAACGGCACACCGCTCTGGAAGCCCAGTTGGTGTTCCGTCCACACGTAGTGCATGCCCACGTAGGGTAGCGGGGCCCAGGAAGAACTTCTCCAGCGCCATCGCCGCCATGGGCCATCGGTGGCCCTGTGGGCTCGTGAGAAAGGATAGGAGAATCCCCCAAGCTTTCGCCGAAATGGCTCGCGACAGCGACTGCCGCTCGGAATCCTGCTGTCGCAAGCCCAATGAAACCCAGGAAGAACCCAGGAGGAGGAGAAGGAGGAGGAGGTGGAGCAGGAGCAGGAGCAGGAGGAAGAGGAGGAGGAGGAGGAGGAGGAGGAGGAGAAAGGGGGGAGGAGGAGGAGGAGGAGGAGGAGGAGGAGTAGGATGAGGAGGAGGAGGAGGAGGAGGAGGGCGGAGGAGAGAAGGGCAGCATGCGCAGAGCACCGCGGGCCCTGGGCCAGGGGAGGGACGTCCCGACAGCCAGGGCGGCACCAGCGTGCTCGCGGGGCGGCTGCTGGCGACCGGCGGGCACCCCTGGGGTGGCCGCACAGATCTCGCGGGCGGCGCGCAAACATCAGGAGGGAAAGACACACACACACACAGAGACACAATTCATCGTCGATTCCCCAGAAAATACGGGAAACTATGGGAGGTGGGGGGAAAACAAAAACCCAGAAAATATATGGGGAATCCTGTTATTTAATCGCTTCGCTCATTCCGCCAGCCCATAATGTCGCACCGTGGTCGCCTGTCCGAGTGGTCGTTTGCAGTGTGGAGCTGCGGCGTCGGGAGCTGTGTAGTTGTCGATAAATTTGTTGTTGTTTTTTCATGGGGTTCTAGGTGTTTGCAGTTTTTTGGCGGCTTTGGTGCCATCGTGGGGGCGTGTTACCCGTGGTATCCCGCTGTGGGGCCGTTCGAGCCGGGGGAAGAGACATCTCATGCGATAAGGGAACCCTCGTGTCGGAGGGTGGCGGGCTTTGAATGCTAACATTGGCTCTGTTATCGTCCTGATGTCCTCTGGCGTTGCGGACACGGGCGTGAAGGAACACTTTCTTGTGGCGTTTCTCTTACCATCTCTTTTCTAATTGGACCGGAGGAGGAGGAGGAGGAGGACGAGGAGGAGGAGGAGGAAGAGGAGGAGGAGGAAGGAGGAGGAGGAAGGAGGAGGGGGATGAGGAGCGATGAGGAGCGCCGTCGTCGTCGTCGTCGTCGTCGCCGCCGCCGCCGCCGCCCGCCGCCGCCGCCCGCCGGCGTCGTCGTCGTCGTCGTCGTGGAGGGTCGAGGCTCGAGGCTGGAGGCCGAACGCGGGGGAGGAGGACCACCCCGACCCGCGTTTCCCAAGTCGCGTCTGGCTGGAGTCTTGGAGGCGTCCTGGGGGCCTCCTGAGGGTTTTTTGGAGGCCTCCAGAGGGCCTTTTGGAGGCCTCTTGAGGCCTCTTGAGGGCCTCTTGGGGCCTCTTGGGGCCTTTGAGGGCGTCTTGGGGCCTCCCGGGGGCCTCTAAGGGCCGAGAGCTCGAAATTCTGTTTCGTGAACCCCCTCTTGGGGCGTTCTTGAAGCGTTCTTGGGGCCCTCTTGGGCCGTCTTGGAGGCCTCTTGGGCCGTCTTGGAGCCGTCTTGGGCCATCTTGGAGCCCTCTTGGGGGCCTCTTGGGCCCTCTTGGGGCGATCTTGGAGGCCTCTTGAGCCGTTTAGGGGCGTCGGGGAACCGAAAAGGTTGACACGCCCAAATCTGTCCAAAACCTATGGAAAAGCATTGTTTGTTTGCCTCTTGGGGCCCTCTTGGGAATGCACTTGGAGACCTCCTGGGGATCTTGGAGGCTTCTTGGGTCATCTTGGAGACGTCTTGGGCCGTCTGGAGGCCATCTTGGGCGCCGTGGAGCGATCTTCGGGCGTCTCGGACCTCTCTTGGACCGTGTTGGGGGCGTTCTTGGGGCCCTCTTGGGCCGTCTTGGAGGCCTCTGGACCCGTCTTGGAGCCGTCTTGGGGCCCTCTTGGGGGCCTCTTGGGGGCCTCTTGGGCCCGCTTGGGGCGATCTTGGAGGCCTCTTGAGCCCTTTAGGGGCGTCGGGGAACCGAAAAAGCTGAAACGCCCAAATCTGTCCAAAACCAAACGAAAAAAAACACAGTTTGTTTGCCTCTTGGGGCCCTCTTGGGAGTTCTCTTGGAGGCCTCTTGGGGCATCTTGGAGGCTTCTTGGGCCATCTTGGAGACGTCTTGGGCCGTCTGGGGGCCATCTTGGGCGCCGTGGAGCGATCTTCGGGCGTCTCGGACCTCTCTTGGACCGTGTTGGGGGCGTTCTTGGGGCCCTCTTGGGCCGTCTTGGAGGCCTCTGGGACCCGTCTTGGAGCCGTCTTGGGCCGTCTTGGGGCCCTTTTGAGGGCCTCTTGGGCCCTCTTGGGGCGATCTTGGAGGCCTCTTGAGCCGTTTAGGGGCGTCGGGGAACCGAAAAGGTTGAAACGCCCAAATCTGTCCAAAACTTAAGACAACGCATTGATCTGTGCCTCTTGGGGCCCTCTTGGGAGTGCTCCTGGAGGCCTCTTAGGGCATCTTGGAGGCTTGTTGGGTCATCTTGGAGACCTCTTGGGCCGTCTGGAGGCCATCTTGGGCGCCGTGGAGCGATCTTCGGGCGTCTCGGACCTCTCTTGGATTGTGTTGGGGGCCTCTTGGGGCCCTCTTGGGGCGATCCTGGAGGATCTGGGGGAGTGTCCCGGGCGTGTCCCGGGCTCGGCCCGGGGTACTTTTGATCCAGGGACCCCCAGGGGCCGCCCCGCGCGCGCGAACCAGAAATACTGTTTACCAGTTACCGGAGATCTTAGCACGCCTCTGGCCCGTTGGGCCGGCGAATTTGTGTGTGTGTGTGTGTATCTATTTGTGTGTCCCAGGGCCCCTTCATTCAGACAATGAACAGAAAAACTCGGATGTCCGCGCGGATTTCTCGGATCGGCGCTGGACCCCCCTCCTTGGCGCGCGGAGCGCGCTGGGGGCGGCACCAGAGGCGCCGCCAGGGGGCCCCAGCGCCGATCCGAGGAATCCGCGCGGACCTCCGAGTTTTTATGTTCATGCCTTTGTTCGTTCCCCTAGGACTGTCACGCCTGGTGAGCGTTGTTTGATTCATTGTTTTGCCAATCGGCGCGGGCCCTCGCACCCCTCCTGTCCCCCCCTCCATGGAGCAGATGTTGACTGTTTTGGGCGCCTGTTTCGAGAGGGTGGAGTCTCCCCCATGGGGCGGAGGAGGGAGGAGGAGGAGGAGGAGGAGGAGGAGGAGGAGGAGGAGGAGGAGGAGGAGGAGGAGGAGGGAAGGGACAAGATTACCAAAATGCGTCGCAGGATCGCCAGGAGTGCCGTCACGCCTTCTCTGTCAACGCCCGGGTGCGATGCGGCAGGCGCCTCGGGGCGGCTGGCCGAGGCCCAGTGGCCTGCCTGCAGAAAGCGCCAGTTGCGCGGCTTCTGTCACACCGGCAGCCGGTGCCAAGCGTGCCGCTGGCTTCCGCCTCTGTCCCCAGGCCTCGTGTACCCATCGGTCGTTCAAAGTAGGTTTCCGTCGGGACAGGAGGAATATTCAAAATTTCCGCAGTCAAAACAACATTCTGGGGACGATCTTTTGAGTTGTTTTTATGTGTTTTGTTCGTCGTTCAGAATCGGCCTGTAGGGGGACATGCCCGATCTAAAAGTATGTATTTTTGGATTCACATATTCCAATATTCTTTCAGCGCCTTCCTACTTCAATGATCGAGTGGCTTCACCTGTTCCGTCCTCAGATGGCGGACGGAATTCGATCTATTTTCAACGCGTTCCTACTGAGTATTTTTACTTATTTCTTCCGACCGATGGGTACCCTTCGAAGGAGTACAGGCGGCATAAACATAAACTCTTGGCGCTCCGCGCGGATTTCTTGGATCTGCGCTGGGCCCGCCCCAGCGCCGCCCCTGGCGCGCTCCGCGCGCCAGGGAGGGGGGTCCAGCGCAGATCCAAGAAACCGCGCGAGGCGTCGAAAGTTTGTGTTTGTGGCATTTTTTCTTTCTTCGAACCCTGCCTGCGCGCCTTCCTTGCATCCTTTTCTCCACCTCTCCCCTCACAATCCCATCCCTCCCTCCCCTCCCTCCCCTTCCTCCCTCCTCCTCCATTCCCCTCCCTTCCCCTCCCTTACCCCCCCCTCCCTCTCTCCCCCTCCCCCTCCCTCCCTCCCTCGCCCTCTCTCTCCCTCCCTTCCCCCCACCTCCCTTCACAATCCCATCCCTCCCTCCTCTCCCTCCCCCTCCCTTCCCCTCTTGACCATGGCGGGGGATGACAACAGCATGCTGCGAGGACTCCTTGCCGACGCAGGCCGTCCGAGCCGTCGTCAGGAGTCCTGCGAGCCCCACCCCCAACCTACCCTCTCGGCGTGGTCTCGTGGTTGCTTCAGGAAGGCCAGAGGTTGCCCCAAGATGGCTGCAGCATAGGCATTTCTTGCTCAAGCGATTGCTCTGGGCCAGGGCCCACGCACACGCTGCTCAGATCCTGGTCTGTTTGGGGGAGCGACGGCCAGACCAGATGGCGGTCTGCCCTGCGGATGCGGCGCCTCGCCAGACGGCCACCTTCTCCGACACGTCCTGGGGCAGGGCGCTCCTGGAGGTACCCAGGGGCCGCGCCCGCGGCGATCCCGAGGACGAGGCCGAGGCCGCGCGCGCGGGGGCTCGAGCTCTCGTCGGACCCGACGCCGCGGCCGCGGGCCGCGGGCACTCCCTGGCCGCGCTCCGCGCGCGCGCCCGCGCGGCGGTGTCGGTGGCGGCGCCGCGGAGGCCGCCGGGGCTCCGCGCGAGCGCCGCGGGCGTGCACGGCGGTGCTGCCACACGGGGCGAGGCCCAGCAGGAGGGCGGCGGCGGGCGCGGGGCCGCCGATCGCGGCGCCGTCGGGGGCGGCCCCGGCAGCATCCCTGAGCGCAGCAGCTGCCCACAGGCAGTGCCTCTACGCCGTCGCTGCAGGAGGAGGAGGATCGAAGAAGGAGGAGGCGGAGGAGGAGGAGGAGGAGGCGGAGGAGGGAGGGGCAGGAGGAGGAGGAGGGGGAGGAGGAGGACCAGTGTGAACCCAAGAGTCATCAACGATGTTGGAAGAAACCCTCCCTCCAAACCCTACAACGGTTCATTTCCACTGAGGGAACTGCCTCGAGGAACCGCCCTCAATCCGTGAAACTATTGCAAATGCTTGACACGAATGCGCGCGGCGCTAAGGCGAGAGCCACACTCTGAGAAGGAGCCGCCCTCAATCCGCGAAGCGCTTGCACATGTTTAAAAACGAATGTGCGCGGCGCGTCGGCGAGGGCCACATTTTGAAAAGGAACCGCCCTCAATCCGTGAAGGTCTTGCAACTGTTTGAAGCGAATGTGCGCGGCACTACGGCGAGACTCACATTTTAAATACGGTGCGCACTCAATCCGTGAAATTCTTGCAACTGTCTGTTTAAAACGAATGTGCGCGGCGCTATGGCGAGAGCCACATTTTGAAGACGACCCGCCCTCAATTCGTGAAACTGTTGTTCCTTTACTCAGCTTCAG